ATAGAAACACATTTAGTGAATGATTAGGTAGCACGTAGACATGGCAGAAGTCACGAAAATGTTGAAGAAACACAATGGCAACTTTGGTGAAGGGCACTTACTAAAGTTTAAGGTCAGAATCCAGAGTATTGGTGCTTTTTCTCCCTAGATATATTTATAGCAACTTAGTTTTTCCGGCTTTTATTATAGAAATCTGTGACAGGCTTTGAGAATTAGAATTTCTATAAATCTTTAAATTATAGCTTTCTAAGATAGTTTCTTGACACTTAGTTCTCTTATGGAAGTGTGCCTTGTAGATCAAGATATTTTGCTCCTTTATTTTTCTAAGATACAGGTGATCATGTGGTGGTAAGAAAAGGAAGGTGTGTGTGTGTGTGTGTGTGTGTGTGTGTGTGTGTGTGTGTGTGTGTCTGTGTGTCTACCTACGTCTACAAGAAAGACAGAGAGAGATGGATGGTAGGATGGGTTGATAGACAGGTGAATAGAAGACCTGGATACCTGGATAGAGAAGAGTATTAATGATAGGACTTCACTTTTCTAAGGAATCCCTATTGTCCCCAAACTCTCAGGAAATCCAGTAAGTCTGCCACAGCTCAGAGAAGTTTAGGAAACACTATTTTAGGTTCTCTCATTGGTAAAGTGGGTTGCTCTGGGTGGGCCAATTAAAATGGGCTCCATATAGAGATATTTAGCTATTCTCTATAAAAGACCTCTGAAGCTCAAAGACATTTGATTAGGCAAATTAGCTCTTGCTATAAATAATGACTTACTGTTTTATCAGTACTGTATATATACTTCAATTATAGAGGCAGCTGCTCTGAGCAAGGGTAGCCACAGTCCACATTTAAATTTATTACTGGAAGTTAAAAACACTGTGGTGCAGTTATAATGTAATGTTGTAAATGTCTGTCCTGTATAATTTTATAGAATGGAAGCTTCTTGCCTAGAACTGGCCTTGGAAGGGGAACGTCTGTGTAAATCAGGAGACTGCCGTGCTGGTGTGTCATTCTTTGAAGCTGCAGTTCAAGTTGGAACTGAAGACCTAAAAACACTTAGTGCTATTTACAGCCAACTGGGCAATGCTTATTTCTATTTGCATGATTATGCTAAAGCATTAGAATACCATCATCATGATTTAACTCTTGCAAGGTAATTAATTTAAGCTTTTTAACATTCTTTCTTTAAATTAACTGTCAATTTTAAAATATTTGTATTCAATTTAAAAACCTAACACATTTAGTGAGTTCTAATTAAATAGCATGGCATTTTAAAATCTTTAGGCTGAACAGAGTTTAATTAAATGAATGAATAGTAGTGAAATTACCCTAGAGTTTAATTAAATTAATAAAAATTAATTAAATTTAAATACAGAAATGTAACTTAAATTTTTATTTAAAGTAGGTTTCAAGGCTAATGGGTCCTCCTTAAGCATGTCAGTTGCCCTGTAGGGAAAACTGTACTCTGGCCTTGTTATATTTTTAACACCATTTCCTTTTTTTTTTTTTTTCCAGGACTATTGGAGACCAGTTGGGGGAAGCCAAAGCTAGTGGTAATCTGGGCAACACCTTAAAAGTTCTTGGGAATTTTGATGAAGCAATAGTTTGTTGTCAGCGACACCTAGGTA